GCCACTATCATGCCAGCACCTTAAGCACCAATACAATAGAATAGATCAGAGATTACTGATTAAGTAAACATATAAAGAACAGAGAACAGAGCAGAAAGCTAATTCTTTTATCAGGAATTTGAAATTAAAAAAAGTGCCTACAATGCAGAAGCAGCCAAAATTTAGTATATGATTGTCCCGCAGCTTCCATGTGGAATTATTAGGGCTTTTAATGAATAGGAGTAAACGATAAGTGCCAGCTAACACTTATTTCTTAACATTATTTAATTTTAATGGCAGGAAGACGACAGAGCCGCCCTTAAAAAGAAAGACCCCCCACCAAGTTGCAGTGCCCTACAACTTTAGGACAGGCCCTCCACCACACACCCCTCTATAATCTATATTAACTAATTAATTAAATTTTGATGATGAATAAAGGGCCTCTATTGACTTCTTATTAAACCCTACGCCAACCCACGGGTTTACTTCATAACTAAATTATTAATGTACATCAAATATAAGCGCATTTTCTTGCATTTTGATTGAAATTTGAACCATCTTTTATGATTTTTTTTTTTTTTTTTTTTTATAATTGAGATGCTCGAGCTAATTTATGCATACTTCAACTAATCTTTAGAATCTATTAAACACCCTACAAATCCAAAGGATAAGATAAGTCACAATATTATTGCAGTAGATAATCTTAAGGTTTAAATCCAACAATTCAAGGAATTGAGCAAACCTCCTTGATTGCTAAGCTAATCTCTTGAGTTTAATTTTTTATGATTTTTATAGAAGAGGTTGCTTAAAATCGCTTAAATTGTTTATATATACATATTAATATGTCAGATAACTTAATAGATAAATAAAACTTAATTATAAATGAGCGAAAATTTATGCGTGTCATGAGATTTTTAAAATTAAAAAAAGAAAAGAAAAAGCATAAAAGTCCTGATCAAGGGAAGATAAATAACATTAATCTTATTTTTTTTTTCTCTATTAAATTACACCGAACAATTGATCAAGTTGCTGGCCAAGAGCCTTGTTATGTACAGGAACTATTTCTATCAACCATAAATTTTGGTTGGGTTCTTTGTTTCTTAGATTCTAATAACATGAGAAGTCACCATCAGAATTCAGCAATCATGAAGGGTTACGTCTGTTTGAAAAGATTAAATGCAATGTAAGATCCAAGAACATGAACATCCATAGATAAAGATCACAATCACAACAAAGACTACTTCATTGGACCAAAATGCCAAACTGATGATCACGTGGCAGTGGAATGTTTCTATAGGGAGATGCCAATGGCCATAGTACCCTACCCCCACGTAATATAGTTTAATTTAATTAGCGATGCACGAAACGAAATGAATCCAAAATAATGAAATGCCCATACACATTCACATTTCGCTTTCGTCTTCCCAACACTGAAGCTGCATGTGCAAGTGTCACCTAACAAGGGAAACACACATGACATGCCAGAGGTTAAAACAATATCGAAGAAATTCGATGGTTTTAGTCATGTTTTTGCCTTCCCCATGTGCTATGCCCTAGCAATCTAAGGACAAGCTTATCAAATGGCGTTTGCTTCTCAGTCAAACTACATATATATATACATGAAATATAGGCCTCCAGTGGCCAGTTCTCAGCTTCCACATTTAATTCTAATATCTGCGCCTCCCTTCTCCTTAACCAACTTCTTCCTCTTGCCCATATGTATCTTTATTATCATTCATTACTCACCATGCACATTTAAGAAATAATGTAATAAAATGTCCAAATTTTAAGTGAATTGTTTTTTGTTCTAAATTATTTTAAAGGAGAGAATAACTTTATCCACCCTGAGGATTTGATTAACAAATTTAGGTCCTGTGTTTTATAATAATTAATTTATGTCAACTCAGAGCCATTTTCTGTTTTAAAACCAGAATACCCATCATTTTAATATTGTCTTAATATTAACTGAATAATGATATAATAATAAAAATATATATAATAAAAAAAAAACTGTTATCATTGGCATCTAATGATTGTATCTCGTTTTAAAAACCAAGATCCAACCACCAAAATTGTCTGAATATTTAATGTATATGTGAAATATCGCTTATGTCCCTTGATTATCTATTTTTCTTTAACGTCTTTTATAATCACGGGAATATATCCCAGTATTTTAAACTATAGGTCTTGAAAGTTGAAACAGTAAACCTAAACCTGGTGGGGGAAAATTAAAAATTATCTCATTTTTCAACTTGCAGTTATTAATTATTTTATTGTCCCAAAAGTTCCCCAAAATGCATTTCCTTTCGCAAAAGTATGAAATGACTAAACCTTTAATTAAAATTATTCTGATAAACAGAAGAAAGTACTTGTCTAATTAAACTATTCTGATCTCTGAATAGTGGAATGCTCCTATACAACTAAATCAGAAAGACCCAATTAATTATAAAAACTAAAGATGAAATGTTAGTGAAACTGATTAAAGCAAAAACTAATGAAGATTTTTTATAGTGGCCTATTATAATAAAGATTAGTTCACAATCTAATCTTATAATTTTTTTCTTACAACCCGACGTGATAACTTGTAATTTGACAGATAAAACCCATAGCGAGGAGGCAGGACCTATTTACAAACTGATCAATTATAAATTATGAGATTAAATTATAAGTATAATATTACATTTTCTTTTCTTTTTTTCTTTTTTCTTTTTTAATCGCTGACTATAAAATACAATTGCCTATCATCAGTGTTCATCATTCTCAAGTGAGTTCATCTTGATCTTACTTTTTTTTTCCTTCCCCGTTTTCGACCTGGAATTGGATAAGCGATGCGACTATAAATGTGTAAGTATATTTGCGCAAATCTAATCATATTCTGAAAGTGAAAAGTCAATAAATGCTAGTTCGCATATGTTTTTCGAAATAAAGTTGGTAAGATGTTGATGCCTGATTTGTTAGGAACCCAATTATTATTGTCTTTAGTCTACGCAATTAGCTGTATATTTTAGTTTAATTATCTTGATCATATTAATTTCAGGGCTTCCAGGCTCCACAACACAAAGTAGGTTCAAGGCTGTGTCGCCAAATATATCAGTGGGGCAGAATTTATAAGCACAAATCTAACTTTTGTAGTAAATATTATTACTCATTATGAAAAACAATATAATAACGAGAGTTTGCTTAATTATTGCATAAGAGTTATCAGTTTTGATGCCTCCATCTCAGCAATAATCAAGCAGGGAACAAAGTTAAAATCTATGGGGCTGTGCCCACTTAAATCGAGATTGTCTTCCAAAAGGTAGCTTAGAGAACTATTTATATCCTCTTTTCTAAACAACAATTCTATGCAAGAGTTTATTATAAATAATTGATTCCTGAAGAAGCAGGAAGAAGAAGCAAACAATAAATATGGAAGTGGAAGTGGAAGTGCATGCCGTTATAAGGTTAAGAGGAGAATAATTTCTATTATTTTTGAAACCTGGATTTTTTTTGTTATTCTGTCATATAGCCCAGAGATCTCATAGGAAAACTTTTGACTTGATAATGCTACGTACAAGTAGAATTCAAAAGCTTATCATGTTTGGTGATGATCGAGCATCATTTAAATTGAGAGTGAAATCGTTAGTATCTAACCTGCCTTCTTGTTGGGATGTATAGGCATCTAGCCAGCGGTGCTTCAATCTGCACAAACCCAAAAACTGCCAAATCGCTTCTAAAGAGTGTCACATGGATTCTAACTTATTTTGTGTCACTTTCTTCATCCCTTCAAATTAGGGGATTTCTCATGATGATAACTATTCTGTTTCCATCTTCATCCCTTAATCCTTTAATATCATTGTCTCAATAAAACCTAATTTCACGGAGCATCTTTCTTCTCTTTTTCTTTTACCAATCTTTCAGTTAAAAAGAAGTAGGCTGGTAGGTAGGTATAAAGACTTGATTTGATGGGGTATTTTTACAACTGACAAACCCATAAATTTGTGGGTCCAAAACCTGAATCAACTCAGCGATAACCATGCTTATTCATCATCACAAGCATCACATTTTTACCAAGTTTGGCTAGTTCCTCCCAAGAAGTCAAAGCATCGGAAGGTCGATGTTGGTGGATCAATGATTTATCAGGCAATTGGGTCCCCCAGTGTTTGATGGATTTCGTGGGGTAATTTTTTTTACTGGGTCTGTACAAGTGAAATTGTAATGCAGATGAAGAAAGAAATAGCATATTCTACACTTCCCAAATGCAATAATGTTTGTTCTTTTACTAGAAACTTTAGATTCAGTTCATTGAATATCCGTCCTCACGTGATTACTGATTACCAATTCTAAAACCCACTTTAACAATTCTGCTACCCTCACATGCTCTCTCTACTGTTAAGCTCTCCCTCCTAGATTTACTTCCTCCTCCTTTTATGATAATAAAAAATAATTAATTTTAAGTAAAATAAACTAAATCATCACATGTCCATCCAATAATGAATTTTGTAAAATATACAGATGGAAACAAATAATGTTTGTGAACCAATTAAAATGGATAGTGTAATGACATGTGTTTGTGGTGGCCCATGTGCTCTTTGATGGGTAACATGTTAATCCTGAATGGATTTACAGAATGTTCAGTGATTCAGATGTATGTGAAGTAGTCAAACCATCCAGCTGGGTTTATCGTCCTTTGCTTAGGCAACATTTTTAATTTTCCATTAATGAAAATATATAATTAACCTACTCAACAAAGCTATGCATATCCCTAGTAATTTTAACTTCCCAATAATACTTCAACAACAGTAAATAATAGTTTATTATTTTCCCTAATAAACAAAACCAATTAACAGTAATATTTTATATCAGCGGATCAAATTTGCTTGCTAATCTAATAATTCAATTTCACCGCGCTTTTTATTGTATTTCCTAAAAAACCGGTTTATCGGTTGAAATTTGCAAATCGGTACCTCCCCTCTCAACATTTAAAAGTTTCCTTCAATTTCATTTTGCAACTTCCATCCACCTCACTACTCTTCACTCTTCACTCTTCACCAAAACGGTCCACTTCAATGCCAAAACACTGAACCAAAGAGACTGTGCAAAAGTTCACGCACAAAAATCGAAATCAGAATGGCTTTGGAAAAACGATCCTCTCCGACTCAGAGTCCATCTCCTCCTTCGACTCAAGATCTCAAGCAACGAGTCATAACGTGCCTCAACAAACTTGCCGACCGCGACACGCTGAAGTTAGCGACGATCGAGCTGGAGTCCATCGCCAAAACCTTAACTCAAGATTCGTTCTCCTCGTTTCTCAGCTGCTTACAAAACACTGATTCGTCTTGCAAGTCTCAGGTTCGGAAACAATGCGTGAACCTACTGACTCTGCTTTCCGAGTCGCACGGAAACTCTCTCTCGCCGCATCTCCCCAAAATGATTGCAACGCTCGTCCGCCGGTTACGGGACCCGGATTCGTCCGTGAGATCCGCATGCATTGTTGCAACGACTGCCATGTCATCACACATCACGAAACCGTCGTTTTCGGTGGTGTCGAGACCGTTGATTGAATTGATACTAGTGGAGCAGGACGTGAACTCGCAGGTCGGCGGAGCGATGTGTTTGTCGGCGGCGATAGAGGCGGCTTCGAATCCGGAAGTGGAGCAGTTGAGGAAGCTGTTGCCGAGACTGGGGAAGGTGGTGAAGAGCGAGGGGTCTAAAGCGAAAGCTGCGGTGTTGGGAGTGATAGGAAGTGTTGTTGAAGTTGGTGGAGCGAGAAACAAGGGAGTGTTAGATTGGCTGGTGCCGTTCGTTCGGGAGTTTTTGAGTTGTGATGATTGGGCATCCAGAAAGGCCGCTGCCGAGGTGTTGGGAAAGGTGGCTTTCGTTGAGAAGGACTTAGCCTCAGAGTACAAAAACGCGTATTGGGCGGCTCTGGAAAGTAGAAGATTTGATAAGGTAAAGTCGTGGACTCTGTTTGGTTGCAAAGAAAATGATTGGAAAAGAGGAGAAACCAAAAGGTAAGATGATGTTTTGTTTAATAATTTGGATCTGAATATGGATTTTATATGGTAATACAGATAAAGATTGTTCGAGAGACGATGAATCGTACATTAGAGCTGTGGAAGGAGGTTCCTGGTGATTGTGACGACGTCTCGGCTCCGTCTCAATCTAAGTCTTCTTCAGCAGGTAAAATTTTAATTATGTATTGTTATTTATTTTTTACTGTTATCGGATAGAAAGACAGTTTTGCAGTAATTAGTTTGCCGGTTTTAGTGACAAAGTTGGAGGTTTAGATCAATTTCTCTACTACATAATGCTATATTTACTATTTTCTGGGTTTTATTTATTTATCTATTTATCTGGAGCCAGATAATGGTAGTGGCGGATGCTTTCCTTCTATCACCAAAAGTTTCCAAGATGTTGGTTTTAAAACTCCACCACCAAAGAAAATGATTCCCACTGGCAGTTCTCCTTCATCAGATAGTTCTTATGGGACGACTGCCAAAAATGAAGTTACTTTGAGAAGTAGTAACAGGAAGACAAGCACATCAATGCTCCATAAATCGAATGATAAAAAACCCTCTGATTGGAAAGTTGAAATTGCAGTACCACACTCTACTTCCAAGGTGATTTGTGCCGATGATGTCAAAATGCGTGACTCTGATCATCCCGAATTAGGAGAGAAGGAAAATAATGTAAATTCTCGGCCAGAAACCAAACGTGCACTCTTCAGCAAAATCCAAAATGACAAAGTTTATAAATTTGGTGGTTTCAGATCAGGGTCTAGGGTGGTCCCGTGTCCTGATGATGGGAACTCAGATTTTGTGGCCAGCAATGGTACTGAAGAAGTTTATGATGACCCGAAAGACGCTGAGGATCTCTCTTTGATCCGTGAACAACTTCTTCAGATTGAAAACCAGCAGTCCAGTCTATTGGACCTTCTTCAGGTGACTTACTGGAGCTTTGATATCCTAAAACTGCATTATAAGATGATTAGATTATATTTCTCTCTAAGGTTCGGCTGATATAATTATACTGAAAATAATTTTTCTTTGGGCTCTCGTATATATTTCGAATGGATAAAAGCAGCTTTACATATGTAATTTTGCTAGACAGCTGTATTTGATATTGTCTTCCGGCTTCAGCATTTCCCCCTAAGATTTTTCCATTTAGAATTTAATCCTTTTCGATTTGTTAATATTTCTCCATCCATATGTTCTCTCATGCCGTTGTACCTTGAACAAGTTGATTAGTTAAGTTTTTTTGTTAGTTTCAAATGTTCCATCATCCATACTCCTTAATTCTTTATGAACGCCATTTCTTTCTAGTTAATGCATCCTCTGACTTTAGGGTTTTTTTTCCATTTTACTTGAATTCAGAGATTCATTGGGAGCTCCCAGAGTGGGATGAATTCTCTAGAGACACGTGTACATGGCCTGGAGATGGCTCTGGATGAAATCTCATATGATTTGGCATTATCAAGTGGAAGGATCCCAAACAAAGAATATGCAGAAAACACTTGCTGCAAACTGCCTGGCGCAGAATTCTTGAGTTCCAAGTTTTGGAGGAGGACAGAAGGTCGGTTTTCTACCTCGAGGTTGTCTTCATCTGGGAATATGGAATGCTTCCGTGCCATACATAACGCAGCTGATACTGAAACATACAACATAGATAACCAAAAATTACAGCACCCACATGGGGGTGGATACATCTTGAACTCATTGTCAGATGTTCATGACCTAAGGGAGAATTCTGGGTTCCATTCAAATAGAACTGTGAAGAACATCATCCAAGAGTCTGAGAGGTCACAAGTTTGCAGCGTTGGTGGCCTTGATGGGACTTCTCCATCTTCTGTTTCTAAAACCCAAGTGAATATAAATAGGAGGTAAGTGGATGTCTTATTGTTACACTCACCTCATAATGCTTGTGTAGTTTGGTGAATGATCCTTCTCGTATTTGCTTTCTACAGTTCTGCCCATAATGCATTGAGTAAGTTCTAGCATGTTAACATAGGCTACCTACTGTGTTATATACACTATAATGTGATTGGTCCAGGCATTTTATTTACAATTCTATTAGTGCCTAGGGAGCCAGTTTGACATAAGTTTAACCCAACCAATATTCCCTGCCATCGTCATTTATATATTGATTGTGATAATACCCGACTTACGAGTGGTCTATATTTGTATTTCAAGGAAGTCTAGATAATTTGGATTGCTTATTTACTCCAAACATATCGTGATGCTTATTACTAAGCTTAGTTTTATGGATTGCTCAGTGTGCCTATGGAATCTGTTTTTGATGATCAATGTTATTAATTGCTTTCTTCTTTATGCATCAGATTATCTACTTAAGTGGAATGGAAGTTATGCTTAAATACTCAGTTTAGCAGAGACAAGCACCTTGGGAGTTGGGTAAAGGTTGAAGAATGGCACGAAAATGGAGCATTAAATCTAGAAAATGATACAAAAATATGAAGCTAACCTTGTGAAATCAGCCTTTGAGTTGCATGCGTGTGAAGTGTCTCATTTGACTCAGCCTTTTGGTTAATTATATACGCGTAGGATTTATAATTTAAGATCCTTCTTTTAGAGGCAGCAATTTCTTTGAAGTGCAATACCAGAGCAAGTCTACCGAATGTTATTATTCTTGCATACAAATCTTGTTAAGTTATGCAATTGTTGAAAGAAAAGTTTGTCTTGTATATAAATAAAGTTTCACACAAAAAAATTGGCTTGTCATTCGTTGCTTTTGTCTCTGTAATGTTTACTGTTTGTAATGTGCATTTTCTGCGACAACTGCGTGGTGTGATGCAATATGCAATAACAAGCCTCGTTCCGTATTCTTGGCCATCCTTATCATAACGCCGATTGGGTAAAGGTCCTGTTGGAGGTGAAGATTGTATGATAATGTTAGTGTTGTCTTGCAGTCTTGCCACCAATACTATTAGAATGTTTGTGTTGTTGTGTTCCACCTTGCTACTTGGTAGTTACTTACGCCATGTTCACCAGGATATAAAATTAGTCCAGCTTGAGCATCTGAGGTTTGAGCTGCTTTTATGGGTTAAATGACATCCATGTTGAGAAACTACAAGATTCAGCACGGATCCTCTCACCCTATTCATTTATTCAGCAAAAAATATAAAGTAGAAGCTTTGCGGAAGGTATACATTACAACCATGTTTAAGGTCATGACGTGGCTCATCCAAATTGGGGTTCATCCTTTGAAACCATTTTTTACACGTAAATATTAATAACGAATGATGGATTTCTATGGTTTACTTCCTTCTCTTTTTAAGATTTATTCCATTTCTTGCTTGTCTTTGTCGATACTCATTACTAGAGAGGAAGTAAATATTAACCAATAACCAAAACCTCTCAGCGTTACGACAGCAAGTCAATCTGCTGCTAAATATCTTCCTCGTTAAGGAATAACAGATATGCTGGAATGGTTTCATAGAACGAACCCCAAGTAAGCTCGTTTGTAACTGAGATTCATGACATGGCGTACAATTTAATGAAAAGACATAAAAAAAAAAAAAAAAGGCCTATTGTTTTAAACAAATTATCCAATTTAAAATGAAATATTTACTAACGACAATGAATAATTGTTACTGTTGTTCTTTGATTCACAAAAGTTACAAGAGAAAGCGCTTTGAAATGGCCGTGGGGTACTCATAAATTCACTTGTAATTGTGGTGAAACTGATATGAGTAATCCAGGGAGGTTGGGCCATATTTCTCTTGTGATACAGCCCAATTGTATTGGGCCAGACTGAAAGGATTGAAGAAATTGTTATGGTTCCGGAGACTCAAACGAAACGATAGTTGCATTTGATTCTTTAATAAAACACGCAAAATTGAGTGAATTAATATTTACTACAAGGTGGAAGTTTCCTAAGTTATATCATTATAACGTTGTTATAAATTAAAGGGTAAACACCTTTTTCCACCTAAATAATGACTTAATAACACCTTTCTACCCACAGACTTTTAAAATACTATTTTCCACCCAACAAAATATTTTAAATGACATTTTCCTACCAACCCCGCTAATCGCCAGTGGATTTTGGAATCGTTGCGACCCGATACAACCAACATTCTCTTTTACGATAATCACTCACTAAAACCCCTCAAACCTTACTTTTGCCAACCTCGTTAATTGGTGACAATTGAGCGATTAGGGTTTATGCAATCAACTTTTTTAAGTTAAATTTTAACTAATCACAATCACCAAAATATAACCTTCACCATCAAAAGACTCACCAGCCTCCTCTCTTCAAAAGCCCCAATAGCATGAACCGATTTTGCTCTTCGTCAGCTGTTAAATCGAAAAGTATATTTTTTTGGATAGAAAAGTGGTATTTTAAAAATCTGTTAGTAGAAAAGTGTTAAACCATTATTTGGGTGGGAAAAAGTCATTAACTCTAAATTAAATGGATGTGTCACTGTATCATTGAAAGTAATTAAAATGTTTAGAAGGTTTGGGAAATATTAGTTTAAGTTACAAGGGATTTTATGATATAAATCTTTCTTGTTTCTTGTGAACGGAAATGGAACATTGCGAAAAGTATATTTATTATTTGATGTCTTGCTTTTGATACGATATTCATCATCAGAAAGCTTTGCTGTAAACACAAGTAAGAGCATTGGAATTAAAAAAAAAAAAGCATTTAGAAGGAATTTCATTGGAGAATATAAAACGTTCTCTTCACGATAAATCCTCCTAATTTCTGTTTTTAACTTACAGGCAAACCTCATCTTATTATTCATTTGGGCCAACATGGAACCAAAACAATCAAATTGGTTAAAATCGTTTGCCCACACAAGTTATCTTTAATTCGTAAATAATATTAAAATAATTTGATTAAAGAAGAGGTGGCAATTCTGTTATACGTATTGAGTTGTTTCCCATGAAGAAGGCAACTGGAAAAGAGGCATATTATTGGAAGACACATAAGATAAAAGAAGGCTTAGAATTAGGTGGTGTTCTTGTGGGGAGCACATGGTTCATCACAAAGACAGCCTAAACTTAATACGTGTTTTACACGAAATTGGTTGGTATCATAGTCAATGTCATTTCCTTCTAATTAATGCAACTAATCATCATTTCATGCACGCAATTTATTATTTTCCCCACATAATTCGTTAACACTCATTGACCCAACAACTATTCCATCAATTCAATTATCAACGTCAAATATAATATATCAAAACTTCATTGTTATTGGACCTTGTAATTTATTTTTTCTGATTTATGAATGTTGCACTTTTCTCCTTGAGGTTTGGAATATGTTCACACTGTCCTAATTATATGGGATACAAACATTTCAGTCCCATTAGATGAACGTTTATATTATATGTTTATTAATTTTAGTTTTATTTCTGGAAATTTTACACAATAAAGATAAGTCAAATTTTACTTTTATTGTGTTAAGAAAGTGGACCAATAACACTAACGTCAATCCTTTGAAACGAGTGAAGTGTTTGTATCTTAACGTATTAGGACAAACTAATTTACCCAAAACCTCAAAGATGAAAGTGTAATATCTTTGTTGGTGGAAGATAGAATCAATCACAATTTCACAAATGGAATGGAATCATGGGACAGTTGGAGATAAGAAATAAGAGAAATTTAGGAAGAATCAGAGATAATAGCCTAAGTTTACATCAATCGAAGCAAGAAGAAAAAGGACAAAGTCTTTCTAATCATAACGTAATAAAAATAAAAGAAAAATGTTATCACCTTATCGGCCAGCCACTTTGATTAAACATAAAAGCAATCAAACAAGAGAGAAAGAAACCAAACCTGACCTTCCATGCCACTTTGTCGCTGCCTCTTTTTTTTGACTATAAATTAAAATACCACAGTCCAAGTGGGCATCCTAATGAGATTACATGTTTTTTAACTGCTCATAAGTCATAGGTAGAGACCTGATCAAATTACATTAAACAAACCAATAAAAGGAAAATAAGAAATCTAATACTTTTTATTTTCTTTTGGTCAAAGTTAAATAAACTTAAAATAAGAAAAAACCCATTAAAAAAAATTAGATGATATTGTCACAATAGTATAATTTAAAATTCATTTCACATCAATTTGTTAATCAATATGGGTACTTAATAAATATTATTTAAAAAAAAAAAAAAGGGAATAAAGAGGCCAAAATGAAAATCGATTTCATTTCCCCATCTAAAGATTTTATAACAATGAAATGAGGTAAAACGTCTCTTTACAAGTGAGTATATTATATTATACATGAAAATGTCTCTAGAAAAGCAAAGCCAGCCACAAGCGACATGCAATTACCTCTAAATTATTTTATACCTCACGCAACAATTCAAAGCAAAAAATAGAATCAAAACTCCACCTCACCACATGACTTTTTACAAGAATACACCTCCCTTTAATATTACTATAACTTTTATTTAATAGAATAATAATAGTAGAATAAATAATTCACCAGCTCTTTGCTTTATGGTGACTGGTCAGCCTATTAACGGCAGCCACAAACGCGTTTTATGCTGTTGCACCTCTCCTTTCCTCTCCAGTTTCAGAGTTCAGACAACCCACCCCCAAATAATAAAAATAAAAAGAAAAAAGGAAAAAATATTCCCTCACAAAAGCTGATATACTTCATAAAACGCTGTCGGCACCAGATCTCTTCATTCTCCCATTTTTTGTGTACTCACTGCTCAACTCAAATTCTTACAACAGATCTCATCTCGCCTCACTCTATCCAAGCGGACCAAGCCCATCCTTTAACTTCTTCTTCCTCCTCGTTTCAGTTCCAACCTTAAGTTTTTACACACTTTAAACATGGATTCTGAGCAGAGGCGTAAGCGAAAGCGTGTCTACAAACCATACTCACGCGCACAGTACTTGTCTGTAAGGTCTCTAATCTTGTGTTGTTCTTTCCTTGTGTTTTTGTTGTTCTTGTCTTCAGATCGGTTACCTATTCGAACGGTGTCGTTTAAGCCGGTTTTGAGTGTGCCTACTCTTTCGATTTTGTCTAGCAATTCAATCCAGGATTCTTTCAACCGTAGATTTAAGTTGTTTCCTTTAAGAGTAGAAGAGAGGGTGTTGTTTCCTGACCACCTTTTGTTAATGGTTTCCAAGAAAATTGTTCCTACTGAGAGTTTGGATTGTATTTACTATAAACTGTTGAATTCTTCTGAAAAATCAGTGAGTGTGAAAATTCAGCCTGTGTTGTCTATTGATGAATACGATGAGTTCAGATGGGTGGCGAGGTGCCCACTTCCGCCTGAGAATTATTCAGCTATTGTTGACTTGAAGCGGCGTGGAGTTGTGGCTGAGCGTCGTTGGTCTTTCAGAGGTAATGAGACGGTTCATTCTTGGGAAAAAATGGCTTATGCAGCTGTATTGGATGGGAAGACAGTGGTTGTGTTTGTTAAAGGATTGAATCTTCGTCCGCATAAGGAGTCTGATCATACCCATTTTCGGTGCCAGTTTGGCTTAGGAAATTTGGGGAAAGATGAAGGATTTGTGCTCATGACTGATGCAGTTGCTGCTGCACAAGAAGTTGTTAGGTGTTTGTTGCCGCGGAGTATAAGAACAAATCCAACTAAGGCTCAGGGAATTCGAGTTACAGTTGTTCATGTTAATGCTAATGGGAGAGCTCTGGGACTAGGAGATCGAAGGCCTATGGCCAGAATTCGAACTTCCCGACCCTACGGCCAGAGGCGAAACCAGAGAATTTATAAAGACTATGCGCCTGTGCCGTCTGTGGCAAGAATTTACAATTCCAATTCCTACCAGCAGAGGAAGAATAAGAGGAAGTATGAGCTTTGTGTGTGTACCATGCTGTGGAATCAGGCATCTTCTATAAGAGAGTGGATTATGTACCATTCTTGGCTTGGAGTCGAACGGTGGTTCATCTATGATAACAACAGTGATGATGGCATTCAAGATGTGGTTAAAGAACTCAACCTGCAAAACTATAATGTCAGTAGGCACAACTGGCCATGGGTTAAAACCCAGGAAGCAGGTTTTTCACATTGCGCTTTGAGAGCAAGGAATGAGTGCAAATGGGTGGGATTCTTTGACGTTGATGAGTTTTTCTACTTTCCTCGTGACCATCGAAGGGGCCTTCCAGGACAAAATTCCCTAAAATCTTTGGTTGCTAATTTTTCATCTTCAAAGACTGTTGCAGAGATTAGAACTTCTTGTCATAGCTTTGGGCCCTCTGGCTTGAGCTCGCATCCGGTTGAAGGTGTGACCGTAGGTTACACTTGCCGGCTTCAAAGCCCCGAGCGGCATAAGTCTATTGTACGCCCAGATTTGCTCAACACTACCCTTCTCAATGTGGTGCATCATTTTCGCCTGAGGGCAGGTTATCGGTACATGAATATGCCTGAAAGCATTGCTGTGATAAACCACTACAAGTATCAAGTATGGGAAGCGTTTAGAGCCAAGTTTTTTAGAAGGGTTGCTACCTATGTTGTTGATTGGCAAGAGAACCAAAACACAGGGTCAAAGGACAGGGCACCGGGGCTAGGGACCGAAGCCATTGAACCTCCCAATTGGCGGCTACAGTTCTGTGAGGTTTGGGACACTGGCCTCAGGGACTTTGTTTTGGCTAACTTTGCTGATCCTGCCACTGGATCCCTGCCCTGGGAGTAAGAAACACTAATACGGGCGCTTGCAGTTTGGTGCCCATGTAAACAGAGCAATCACACGAGAAGCTATATTCATTCTTTTCATTTTTTTTTTTTTTTTCCATTTTGTATCTTAATATTTTGGTTTCTATAGGGATGAGAGAATATAGGGTCTTACACTTTGTAAATTCATGACAGCAAGAGATGATTTTTTGTATTTTATTTTGCCCTTTATTTTTATGTTTATTGACAGATTTATTGATTCATGTCTCGTAAACTCCACACTGAAAGCATTTAGAATGGGAAGATACGACAATATATATCATGAATAATGCATCAAGCCTACAAAGATTGAAAGAAATATGGGACAACAATGCTTACAATTAATCTCCAGTTGTCATTTTCTCTTTTTTTCTCCATAAGCTAGGGTTTTAAAGCATTCAACTCATACAGTCGAATCAGCATAAAGCAGTTGGCAGGGAGGGCGACATTACTTTGGGTAACAGTTCTGTTCTGTTCAAGTCTAATAGTTAAGTTTACTAGTCTTTATTTGCCAGATAGCAAACTCTTTTGCAAAGATATAATTAGACGACCTGCCATAATGAAGGACAAGTAGCCAGGGTGCCAAACATTTAGCAAGTTTTTATACTGATTAAGAACATTTAATTCTTAATTCAAATAACGGATTTCGATATCATGCCCTCCTAAAACCTGACATCTGGCAATGAAGAATTGTTATTTGCCACTGAATTTTTCCATTCATTTTCTTTAATTCATATCAGTATTTGCCCTCCCTCAGTACTACGAAAGTTATATGATTCCTAAACTTCCAGCATGTAGTCTTCCTAAGCCAAGGGGGGAAAACTTGGAAGTTATCAAATTTTCAATGGAAAGGGGAAAAAATTGAAGATCAGTTGACCCAAATATTTTTGCCCGCCTATCAATCACATGCTACACCACAAAGCATAATAGTCAGGTAATCAGTAGTGATGATACTTTCAAATCATGACTTTGAACCCCATAGACTGAAGGAAAGGAGAACGTAAATTGGAATCTGCACTAATTTCATATTGTTGGAGGCATTAAAAGTGCGAAAAAATGTACCTTATAAAAGGCTACAACAAATTTTAGCACCATTATGTGATTAAATTTGTTCTAATCACTTTGAAATGCCATCTTCCACCACCAAAGGAACTGTATTTGAATATTTTGCTAGTGTGGCATCCAGCTTCTCTCCAATAAATGCAATCCAAGACTGAAGGTGGAAGAAAGTTCAAAGACAAAATATAAGGAGAAGAAAAGGTTTGAGTTATTGTCACTTGACCCTAAAACCCACAACAAAGAAAATGATAGCATGCTCAATTGATTAATCAACATAGTATTCAACATAACAATAGACAGTTCACAGTTAATGATTTTGCCACCAAAAATATAAGTTAGTTTGAGAGAAAACCCATCTATCAAAGACAGTAAAAAAAGGCAGGACATCCGGACAATGTTAATTCACTTAAAATCTATAGAGTACGAGGATTGATATTATTCAAGAATTATGGCAGTGAATCATCAATGCATTCTCTCTCAAAAGAGAAAATAGAGCAATTAAAACCAAAATATACATGAAGGAGCAAAACATGAAGCATTTGGTGTTTAGGTGAAAAGGCCAGAACTCCAGCTACCAAGAGATCAATAATGCTAAGACAAAAACTGAAAGATGTTGATGCGAGAAAAGAAGAAAAAGCATCAATTCAAACCTTATGAATCTAATCCAAGCAAATGAAAAAAACAAGATCTTTTCAGTTCTAAAAACATGAGAAAGTAATAACTTAATACGATGTATACTAAAGATAATGGTTCCACACATCATGATAATATAAAATCATAACTGAAAATTAAATACAAAATAAGAAGAAATGTTCACTGGAAAAGTGACACATCTGAAATTTAAGAGTTAAGAAAGAAACCTGGTCAGAAGTTGTGAAACCCCTAATGGTGTCTCCACCAATTATTGCAAGTCCTTTGTCTCCAAGTGGCTGCAGGATCACTGCCTAACAAAGTGAAATTTCTTCAGCAATCCATTTTTGTTTCATTGTGGCAAGAGTATCACAATTAATTACTATAGACATGGATTCACATAGAATATTGTTCAAGTATTTAAGAATGAGAGATACAACACTAATTTGACCTCACAGAAGCAAAGGAAAAGCATTTTTTAAGTTTCTAGCGAGCATCAACTTGTTAATAGAATATGGGAGGGAAAATTATAGATCAAAGGATTAGCAAACTGATCATTTTATTAGCAACATTTACTGAATTTATTGAATCTCAATTCTCCAAGAAAGATGAAAAGAAAGTCAACTCATTCAGGTAAAAGTAAGCATCATCACCTGTGTATTTGAAGGCAGAAATGGTAACTCAGACCTACCCGGATAGAGAAATAGGTTGGCTAAGTAACTCTCTGCAAAGAAGATATAAAAGATGTTCATCTTGATAAACAATTTCTTTGACATGCATCGTCTTAAGATTATAACATGGTAAACTAGATGAAACAAGCAAATATTAGAGAGCCCCAGAAGTTACTCACGTGCTTCAGATCTCATAACACCTTGATAGACAGATCCTTGCATCAATTTACCAACATCCACAGTCACCACATCACCATCATTGGAAGATTGAGCTGCCACACCAATTTGAAGGATACAAATGGAGTCATAAACAACAACTAGTGACCTACAGCATGTCACAGCTGAGAGAGATTCCCATGCCCTGAGATTAAGGGAAAAAAGCAACAATAAACAGCTAACCTGGAGGCTGGAACAAATGAAGCAAACATTTTACTCTGCTTCTTATTATTATTATTTTAATCTTTTGGAACGCAAGCAAGCAAGCAGTATGTTTTTAGTGAGTCCAAAATAAAGAGAACCTGGTTGACTGAAAATACTAAAACAATAAAAACGTAATGAAAACTTTAGAACTTGCATTATTTCTTAACAATGCCATAATTTCAAGTCATTCCGATTTTAGCATCTTTTTTGTGATTCCTTTCAATGATGCAAAAGAAAAAAAAAACCTCCATAAGTTCACAACAAAAGACCGACACACATGATTTTGAGTCCAAACACTGATGAGATAACCATGATATTGTCTTTACAATAGTGCATTCAGCTTGTCAAGCATCCTCTGAAAAACTAGTAACCGAGATAGTCTAGTACAAAAGTAAAAGAGAATCTGTAGTACCATAACAACTCAGATACTACACAGTCAGGAAGATGAGAAGATATCATCCGACATTCCACACCTTCAGGATTTACCTGAAACAAACTCAATCATTGCGTTTTCTTTTACTCTAGGAAGAAAAAATTAAAAGTCAAGCTACTAAAAAACTCATCTAATGTTGTCTCTCTATCTGACTCTATGTGCTTGTGCATCTTAAAGAGAGAACTTGAAAGCATATGTGGCGCACTCACTGCAGTGATGGACTTTGGCCGGATCGACAACCATACAAGACCAGTTAATATATTGGTCACAGCCAAAGCAATGGTCAATAAATCCGCTCTGGATTGCGAACTGCAAAGAAAATAAACATTTCATAAAATTCAATCATAACATTCTCTGATCACAAGAGTCATATAGCAATCAGCAATACCTACTAAAAAAAAAAAGAGAGAACGAAAGAACTCTGGATATATGTATCTTCCAAAGTTTCCATAACAGCAGCTCCTCCATTTTAATTGAAGACTAAAATGGAGCATGAATTATCTCAAATCTATAGTTTCCATCAGAATATAGCCTGCATATCCCAAGTGTTGATAATATTAAAAATTTAAAAATTAAACGTTTTCAGTATCCAATTTATACTAGAGTAGTCCTAACTCCTAACTATAAACATTTTCGGATCATAAAATACACGTGTCTTTGCTTAAAAGAATTAGGTGAAATTGACTAAGAGTATGAGGTGGTTTAGGATGCGTGATACAGTTACGGCATTTCGCAAATAGTGTTAGATACAGATAACATCATAACCATAGCTATAGTTGAGAAACGGAAGCTAAACGGACGTTACCTACTGGCATCAGCCACGGGAGCTATATCCGAAACGGTGCGGTTAAAGAGCACAGCCAACAGAGATACTCCTCCAACATAAATCGGCAGGCTCCGAACGGTGTCGTCGTTGTTCGTTACCCAATCGGCTACCCAGTCTTTACTCGGCTTTGGCCCTTTTACCTCTCTTTTGTTAAAATAAATAAATAAAAAAAATTGTGCGCTGATAAAAAATTTTCAGCAGAATTAAAGAAGAGAAAATGAATTTCGAGTGATTAGTGAACCTGTGATTGTAAATTTGCTGAAGCCCGATGAAGCGCGGGAAATTACAGGTATTGCGAGAGAGGAGGGTTTGAGGTTCCATGGAATGGTGGGTAGAAGATAGTTCCCGCTTCCATTGAAATGAATTTCTTTTTGGCTTTTTCCAAAGTTAGAGATAAATACATGGATATTTGGAGGGAATCAATAATATGTGTTTTAGTTTGGGTGTCAATGTGTCATATGGTGATATCGCTCATCAGTTTCGGTTGTGGCCGTTGGACGGTTTGTCATATCCTCTTATGGCCGTTTGTATGTATGTTTAGATAAATGGGTGGATTTCAAATCGAGATGTCACAGTTGTGCCTTTTTTTTTTTTTTTCATTTTTCTCCTACTCATAGATTTAAGTTATCAAATAAATAAACAAATAATATATATATATATATATATATATATTTGGTTTTCCTAACATTTATCTTCAATTATTTTAAAATTCAAGATTATTCATCATAAATCAAAAGTAAAAATACCTTTACCACCTAAGGTTTGACGAATCTACGGTTCCCATAATGGAAATTTCACCCAGTTTAAAATCTGAAATGTTAAATTTAACAGTTAAACGGTATTTAGGTTTTTTATTAAAAAAAAAAAAAAAAAATAGTAAACTCTAATCTCTCTCACTCCCCCAAATCAGTACAATTTCAAAACAACCCTCAAAATTTCTTACAACGCAGCCCTTCCTCTCTACCTCCAAGGCTCCAACTCCTCCACCACCACCACCAACACTATAATGGCTGCTTTCTAATCAAGTATTCATAAAATATATATAACGAAAATACATATAAAATGGTAAAAAGAGTTGGGCCCAAAATTTTCTTTTATTAAACAAATACGTTTTTTATACAACGTTTGGATTATGTACAAAAATTATCAAAAACATGATGGACAGTGTAACCATTTCTCTTCGCATGCCGACGCCCATCCGACCGCGTTCTCACCTAGATCCTGCAACCACAAAGAAAACAACGGGGTGAGCACAAAATAATGCTCAGTAAGTAAATCCTCTACTCGACTGTCCCCGCAACTCTCTCTCTAATTCTTTCCTTACAATTCTCATCTTTCACACAGCTCTCTTTACTTAACTTCTGCTATATGTCACGGCCTCATCTTATCGGAGGCACGGCCGGGTGGAGTTCACACAGCACCAACCCACTCTTCGTGACTTTCGGGTGGAGATCACAAAGCACCAACCCACTTTTCATAACTATTGGGTGGAGATCACAAAGCACCAACCCGTTTTTCATATTTTCTCATCCTCTCTACTCTTAGAGTAGTTCATACACATAGTTTTCTAATCTTTCTCAAGCCATTTCTCAATGCACAATTAATCTTCTCCACTAATGTACTCATGCAATGCCAACATGCAATGTTGTAAGAATTAAGGTTTATTACTCATGATTCTCTTAGGCATTTCATCAAACAAGTAATGTGCATACATAAACTCTACTTTATCTATGGTTCTATCCCTCTCTTGAACCATCCAAAATGGGAGAAAACTCCCTCGCAAAATTATAATCCCTGTCATAAAATCACACTTCCAAATAGATTTATCAATCTCCTGCAATTTCATCTCAACTACATCATCTCATTACTACATATTCATCACATATTAACACTTCTCATCAATGAAGTGTAATCAACAACCTAAAATAAAGACTCATCTCAACCCAATTTCTCAATAGCATAACATACACATACATATATAAATCTCTACTCAAAAGATTTCTCAAATTTCAACTTGGGTTGGATTTACTTACCTTGTAACGGAGAGATCACACTAGTATTTTCCTTTCCTTTAAATGCTTGTCTCTTCTTTACAACTTTACACAATAAAACCACAAGAGTTTAATATACAAATATAGGCAAAACTTCACATCTAAAGCAAAAATCCTTACCTTAGGATGCCTTAAATTAAGGTTCTACCAAAATCCAACTAAAAACCTTCAAAGATCCTTGAAAAATGGAAGGAAGAATTGAGAGGAAATGGTGAAAGAGTATGGCGGTGGAAGAAAATGAATGAAGGGTTTATGAAGCTTATTCCCTTTTTAGCTCATATTGTAACCACTCTTTCCCATTTTGCCCTTGCTCTTCCTTGAAAATTCCATCTTTATCATTTGATTCATTACAAACACACCCCCAAATCCAACACATTCTCTACTAAATTTCCTTACATTTTACTCCCCACTTTTCTTGCTAATTAGGGGTAGAATAGTCATTTTGCCCCTATAGAAGAATTCTCTAGAAACCTCAATACACATTTTATTCGGCTCTTCGCCGCGGCAAAAAATTACAGAACCTACCTCTTTGGTTGCAGAACCTCGTCGCCGCAGCGAAGATTATTCTTCGCCCCGACGAAGTCTATAACACCAAGATTTCGTCAAGTTTTTACAATTTCAGGGCAACCACTCAACCAAACCAATACATCCATTCAACCAAGGGGCAACCAAACAATATGAACAATATACCAACTCAAATAAGAGCAAAACAATAAACATTAGCTACGTACCTCAAGTGGGGCGTTACAAACACCAAAACCATCGGCGGCCAGATTTGGCTGCTACGGAGAAGAGGAAAGAAGAAAGAGAAAGAGAAAAGAGAAGAGAGAAAGAGGCGTGATGGCCATATCCGGTTGCTGAGATATGGTCGTTGCGGAGAAGAGGAAAGAAGAAAGAGAGAGAAAAAAGAGAAGAGAGAAATAGGTGGAGAAGAGATAAGGAGAAAGAGAGGGAGAGAGAAAGAGGTGGAGAAGATCCCGACGGCCATATCTAGCCGCCGCAGAGAAGAGGAAGGTTAAAGAAAATAGTGTTATTGAAATAAATTTGAAAGAAAAATGATTATTTTGCTAATTCTATTAATTTGAGGGTTAGAAAATAATTTATTTATTTACTCATTATTATAAAAAGGTATTTAACTAATCAAACCTAGTCAAAACAAAATTTACCTTAAAAGAGTTTAAAATGGGGGTGAGAATTTGCAATTTATGAATCCACGGGGTGGGTAAATGTCCTTTATCCTAAATCAAATTAGTTTCTACAAAAAAATTCTTGTAATATTATTGGTTGTGGATAATCAGATTATTATGTAGTTTAAAAAGAAATGAAAAGTATAATGCATATTAATTAAATTAATACCTTGATCAAGGCATGCAGGTATTTAATCCATATGTTATGTAAATTGGCAATCTGGCATAGAAAATATCAGATCACTCAAATCTCGTGTTTTTTGGCTCACACCAATAAAATGACTTGGGATAGTTAGCCAAGCATGACGATTACAATGTTATTACCTTTGTAGTGATACATGCAATTTATTTATTTTTAGATTATAATACATCTAAAAGTACCTATGTAATTAGGATTAATTGATTAAGAGTATATATATATATATACAGTTTTATGAATCAACTTCTGGAAAATAAATTCAAAAACAAATATGAATAGTCTCACTCTTATCGTCGATAAATATAAATGCCTTTACAAACACAGCACCACCTCACCTATCGAACAAAGCACAAAGACCTGCTTGCACGAAGTTTTATGTTGTTTTGAAAACTGTACAGCATTCTTTCTTCATTCTGTAATCAAACTAGTGAATAGTCATCATGTAAGCTTTGGGATTGTGTTAAATTCGAGCCAATGCAATTCAAGTTCAGATAAGGCTTCATCCATTAAAGTTTCTCTCTTCTTGTAACGGAGTACCTGCACCAGATTGAAGAGTCCACATCATTTCATTGACGGTACAGCACAATGGGTGGGCTTCAATGGGGGTTATCAAAACTTAATTAAGTGGAATGGGCTGTTGGCCTTTCTTTCTCCAAGCCCACCACTCCATGGAAGTAAAAGACAAGGAATCCGGTGTTTAACCAATTGAATGCTAAGTTCATAACTCCCGTCCACTTGGAGACCTTTTAAGTTTTAAATGTGATGGGATTCTATCTTTCTCCAATCATGTTTGCCATTCCCCAGACACTCTCGTTACAAATTGTGACTTTCACGCTAATCTAATTGAACGGCTATCCGATTCTCCCATTCAGTCTTCTATTTGTCCTTTTTATAAAATTATCTTTGACTCCCTAATAAACCCCTCTATATCCATTTATTCGTAATATCTTAATCCCAAAATTAATAGAGTTTCAAATCCTGTTATAAACATGCATTAATTTAATGAATCAACAATATTTCGATATTCTCAACATGTTATCTTGGAATAATATCACAAAAATGTTATTATCAACCATTATTTGATGATCTAATGGTAAAAAAATAAAATGAGATTTTATAAACTTTTGAGTTTGAGTTCTCCCAGTCTCAGACACTGATAAAAGTGGTTATTTGGGCTCTTACCTAGTTAATAGATCCAAAACCCTAGAAGATTAGTTAAGGTAAGGTAAACTGGATTTAACACTTCCAATGATTAAAAAAAAAAAAAACTGTTATTATTAATCAATGATAGGGTTATTAACAATATTTAAAATAATTTTAGTTTTTCAAGATATGTATTATATAATACTCCAAGATTTATAAGTTACAAATAATAAATAATATATATAATAGAATATATATATTATATCTATATATATAATATATTATATATATATATATATTTGGTTTTCCTAACATTTATCTTCAATTATTTTAAAATTCAAGATATATTCATCATAAATCAAAGTAAAATTAGAGGTGGAAACAAATAGGCCGGGTTAGGCTGGTCAACCCTAACCCGGCCTGCAATGAAAAGGGTTGAACTTGACCGCCAATATGGCGGTCGGGTTGAACCCAACCCGGCAGCAACCCGGGTAGGCGGGTTGCAAAATGGCAACCCGCCGACTTGGCGGGTTGCTGTTTTGTCCCTTCTAAGAGGGACCGCCAACCCGACAGGTTGGCTGTTATACAATAACGGTCAACCCGTCGGTTGGCCGAAAATAAATTAAAAAAAAATTTAATGTTTTTTTCAAATTACCCCTTTACTCTTGAAATATAGCCGTTTATAGCCGTTAGAGGGGTATTTTCGTCATTTCCTTCCCATTTTTTTCTATAAATTGGCCCTAAACTCTCACATTTTCTCACAACTCAAATTCTCTCATATTCTTAATCTCTAATCTCTCAATATTCATTTATTCTCTTAAATCTTTGTTATCAATTTGCTCGTATTTTATTTTATTAGTTTTTACAATTTTAATTCATATCTCCAATTTCCAAATTCCAATTCTCTTTCTTTAATTATTTCTTCTACAACAATTTTTTTTTTTCAACTACAATGGTAGATATTTCTCTCCCATCAATACAATGATGAAGGAAACACTATCATAGTCTAGTCCGGTTGATTTTACTAACATAAAAGCAGGAGAGATTCAAATAGTCCGCTTTCCCATTCCAGAATCCAATACATCTCAAAATATGCCCCCGATTCCAACAGCTCTCGGTGGTTCTAGAAGTCGTCCTCGTAATGTCACTCTGTCAACTTCATCTCAAGTGTAGCGGGATCACAACTGCCGTCGAAACCGAAGACGACACACATCAGACGTTTGGGCGCATTTTGACAAGTTTACGAGGTAGAAAATGACGTTCAAGTCAAGAAAGCGAGATGCAAATACTATGGAAATATTTATAAAGTTGATTTAGGTAATGGTACTAGTACTTTAAAAATGCATGCTAATAAACATATTAATCAACATGGAATAGAGAACAGCAACAAACTCAAATAACTAATATGGGTACTACTTGGCATTATAATTCTGATGTATATAGGGAATAATTAGCTTTATATATTGCTGCAATGATCAACCATTAATATGGCTGAAGATAAATATTTTGAAAGATTGTTCAAAATCATTTGTATTTAAAATGCAAAGAGAAATATGATTTAATAAAATGTTTAGAAAAATGAAATTAAATTAAAAAATAAAAACATACTTGTCATGTTAGTGGGCTCTAACTGTCGATATTTGGAGTAGTAGAACAAACAAGATTATATTTGTGTGACTAGTCATATTTGATAATGAATATAAATTAAATAAATTTTTATTAGGATTTAGATTAATGGATGTTGATCATAGTGGTGAACAAATTTTAATAAAATGTGAAGTTTTAGAAGATTATGATATTGTTAATAAAGTGATAAGTTTAACTTAGATAATGCAAATTTTAATAGTAAAAGTATAGATTATTTCAAAGTAATTATCCTTTATATAACAATTTGAGTTTTTTTAGCATGTCATGTTTTATTTAATTGTGAAAAGCGGTATGAAAACAATTAAGAAAATATAATGAATTGAGATTGTTTAGCTTGGATTACTTATAGTAATACAAGAAATGCTGAATTTAAGACGTTGTATAAAATCAAAATGTCTCCTAGAACTTTGCATAGACATGCTGTTAGGTGGAATTTAATATTAATGCTTGATTACTGTTTACCTATGCTAATATAATAGTTATTTTGTAGTAAATAATAGAGGTCCTCATTTTGGTAGAAAATGATTGGCAAATAGCTAAAGTATTTTATTATTTCTTAAAATTTGTCAATACCACTGTACAACTTCTGGTGGTGCATTATCCTACTAGTCCATGGTAATACATACAATTAAAAAATTCGAGTTATTTAAAAACAAAGACAATGAAATTTAAATGCACCAATAAAGGTAATGAATTTTTTTTTTTTTTTTTAAATATTGGGAACCTTCATTTTCTTTATTGTAGTGCTATATTTGATCCTGAATTAAATAGCAGGTTTAAAAAATGGTTTTGACAATTTATGTGAAAATTTACAAATGAAGGATATACCAATCAATAAGAGAGGTAAAAATAGATCTTTCGAAGTATATTCCATATGAAAACAGGTATGGGAACCCGCAAAGAGGCGAAACATCCAGGAAAGCGCATCAGAAGAAACAAATGAAGACTTCTACTCTCGGGTGGTGCACTGAATAGGCTAAAGAGGACCGAATCCGAAGCACAACCTCTTTCAGAAGCTCCACCAACAACAACTAAGTACTGGTTCCATGCAGTCTCAGAGTAATGAGCTTCAACAATATTTGACAACCCCTGAAATGTTACCAGTAGATCCAACAGAGAGCCAACATTGATCTCTTAGACTATTGGGAGACCAGAAAATGTATTTTTCCGGTATTATCAGACTTGTCTTGGATGTTTTCGCTGTTCCTGTCTCAACCGTCTCATCCGAACAAACATTTAGTGCAATGGAGAAATTTTAAATGAAAGGAGGATAAACTTTCACAACAAAATGATTGAAGTCTTCACATGTTTTCGAGATTGGAACGGTCGCGCCATCAAGGTCAATACGAGGTTGTCGACGATACTTTAAAAATAATTTCAATTTGTAATATAGATGATACGGATGAGGGAGGTCTTAGTGAATCCCAAAATTAGGTTGTTTGTAAATTGTAACTGTAAATTAATTGTCAATTATTACACTTTTTTTTCCTTACCAAGTTTTTGTCTCATTGGGTTTTTTTTTGTGAGGTTTTTAACGAGACAATAATTTTGTAATTTCTTATTTTATTTTTTAATAAATGAATAAATTTAATTTTCTTATATTACAATTTTAATGTATTAAAAATTGAATTATATTTGGAATGTTAACAAAAAAAAATAATTTAATTTAATTATTGATATTTGAAAAGAAGTTAACACTTAACTAAAAACAATTACATTATTCATTATAAATGTTATTGATTCATTGAAAAGTTAATTAAACATTTAAACTTAAACAAAACAAAATAAAAATATAAAAAAAAGGGTAACTTGGCCCAACCGCGGCCTAACCCGACAGGTTAGGGTTGGTGGTCCGGTTGGGCCAACCAATTCCCCAACATGGCGGCCTAACCCGGCGCCTGCAATGGTGGCGGGCGGGTCAGGACCGACCTGCCACGTTGTGCAACCACAGAGGTGCGGTCGGGCAGGCTGTTTCACCTCTAAGTAAAATACCTTTACCCACTAAGTTTGAAGATCTAATCCCATAAATTGAATTCTATCACCAGTTTAAAATTTGAAATGTTAAATTTAACAGTTAAACGGTATTTAGGTTTTTTTTAAAAAAAAAAATAGTAAACTCTAATCTCTCTCACTCCCCAATCATACAAGTTCAAACAAAATCCCATCCCTCAAAATTTGTACACCCAGCCCTCTTCTCTACCCCAAATCCAACTCCAACTCCTCCACCACCAATACCACCGCCAAGCTACTAAAAAACTCATCTAATATTGTCTCTCTATCTGACTCTATGTGCTTGTGCATCTTAAAGAGAAAACTTGAAAGCATATGTGGAGCACTCACTGCAGTGATGGACTTTGGCCGGATCGACAACCATACAAGACCAGTTAATATATTGGTCACAGCCAAAGCAATGGTCAATAAATCCGCTCTGGATTGCGAACTGCAAAGAAAATAAACATTTCATAAAATTCAATCATAACATTCTCTGATCACCAGAGTCATAGCAATCAGCAATACCTACTAAAAAAAAAAAGAGAGAACGAAAGAACTCTAGATATATGTATCTTCCAAAGTTTCCATAACAGCAGCTCCTCCATTTTAATTGAATACTAAAATGGAGCATGAAATAGCTCAAATCTATAATTTCCATCAGAATATAGCCTGCATATCCCAAGTGTTGATAATATTAAAAAATTAAAAATTAAACGTTTTCAGTGTCTAATTTATACAAGAGTAGTCCTAACTCCTAACTATAAACATTTTCGGATCATAAAATACACGTGTCTTTGCTTAAAAGAATTAGGTGAAATTGACTAAGAGTATGAGGTGGTTTAGGATGCGTGATACAGTTACGGCATTTCGCAAACAGTGTTAGATACAGATAACATCATAACCATAGCTATAGTTGAGAAACGGAAGCTAAACGGACGTTACCTACTGGCATCAGCCACGGGAGCTATATCCGAAACGGTGCGGTTAAAGAGCACAGCCAACAGAGATACTCCTCCAACATAAATCGGCAGGCTCCGAACGGTGTCGTCGTTGTTCGTTACCCAATCGGCTACCCAGTCTTTACTCGGCTTTGGCCCTTTGTAACCTCTCTTTTGTTAAAATAAATAAAATAAAAAAATTGTGCGCTGATAATAAAATTTTCAGCAGAATTAAAGAAGAGAAAATGAATTTCGAGTGATTAGTGAACCTGTGATTGTAAATTTGCTGAAGCCCTGATGAAGCGCGGGAAATTACAGGTATTGCGAGAGAAGGAGCGTTTGAGGTTCCATGGAATGGTGGGGTAGAAGATAGTTCCCGCTTCCATTGAAATGAATTTCTTTTTGGCTTTTTCCAAAGTTAGAGATAAATACATGGATATTTGGAGGGAAAGATCCGGTGCGTTTGTTTTGTTATTCCTATCCATATTCCCAATCTTATTCCCAAAATACTTGTTTGTTTTTATTATTTGAGAAATACAATTCTATTTTTTAAATTACTTTTAAATCCCTTAAATTTAATAATTTAATTAAACACCCCTAGAAAAAAAACTTAAAAATTAACAAAAATACCCCCACCTACCCATATGTAACAGATCCGTATAAGTACAACCATCGACGATGATTGCTGAAATTTGTCATAACAGCGTAAAAACGATCAGAACTAGCCGGTAATTCACCGATCTGACATTTTCCAATCATATCCACAGTAGATCTGACCAGAAAAGGCCAGATCTGGCTGTCATTGACGCTCAACGACGGCCAAATCTTAGCCATCATTGATCGACAACGACGGCCATATCTTTGGCCGTCACTAACGGCCAAATTTGGCATTTTCCGATCAGATCCATGGTGAATCTGGCTAGAAAATGCCATATCGACGCACAACGGGCCAAATCCAACCGGTCTACGTCATAATGCCATTTTCCAGCCAGATTCTGACGGTGGTAGCCAGAATCTGGTACTGTGGGTGGGTGGGGGTGTTTTTATCATTTTACAAAATTTTTATATATTGGGGTGTTTAGTTAAATTAGCAAACCTATGAGATTTTTTTGTTAATTTTTAAATTTTACCTCGTAATCTTCACCTTATTCAACTACCCAATATTATTCTCCAAATCATATCCAAAATAACAAAACAAACACATATGTGATTTTAGCTTGGAGCGTCAATGTGTCATATAGTGATATCGCTCATCAGTTTCGGCTGTGGTCGTTGGATCGGTTTGTCATAACCTCATATGGCCCGTTTTTTATGTATGTTTAGATAAATGGGTGGATTTCAAATCAAGATGTCACAGTTGTGCCTTTTTTTTTTCTTTTTTTTTTCATTTTTTACTCCATAGATTTATAAGTTATCAAATAAATAAATAATATATATAATAGAATATATATATTATATATATATATAATATATTATATATATATATATATTTGGTTTTCCTAACATTTATCTTCAATTATTTTAAAATTCAAGATATATCATCATAAATCAAATAGTAAATTAGAGGTGGAACAAATAGGCCGGGTTAGGCTGGTCAACCCTAACCCGGCCTGCAATGAAAAGGGTTGAACTTGGACCGCCAATATGGCGGTCGGGTTGAACCCAACCCGGCAGCAACCCGGGTAGGCGGGTTGCAAAATGGCAACCCGCCGACTTGGCGGTTGCTGTTTTGTCCCTTCTAAGAGGGACCGCCAACCCGACAGGTGGCTGTTATACAATAACGGTCAACCCGTCGGTGGCCGAAAATAAATTAAAAAAAAATTTAATGTTTTTTTCAAATTACCCCTTTACTCTTGAAATATAGCCGTTTATAGCCGTTAGAGGGGTATTTTCGTCATTTCCTTCCCATTTTTTTCTATAAATTGGCCCTAAACTCTCACATTTTTCTCACAACTCAAATTCTCTCATATTCTTAATCTCTAATCTCTCAATATTCATTTATTCTCTAAATCTTTGTTATCAATTTGCTCGTATTTTATTTTATTAGTTTTTACAATTTTAATTCATATCTCCAATTTCCAAATTCCAATTCTCTTTCTTTAATTATTTCTTCTACAACAATTTTTTTTTTCAACTACAATGGATAGATATTTCTCTCCCATCAATTACAATGATGAAGGAAACACTATCATAGTCTAGTCCGTGTTGATTTTACTAACATAAAAGCAGGAGAAGATTCAAATAGTCCGCTTTCCCATTCCAGAATCCAATACATCTCAAAATATGCCCCCGATTCCAACAGCTCTCGGTGGTTCTAGAAGTCGTCCTCGTAATCGTCTACCGTCAACTTCATCTCAAGTCTAGCGGGATCATCAACTGCCGTCGAAACCGAAGACGACACACATCAGACGTTTGGGCGCATTTTGACAAGTTTTACGAGGGTAGAAAATGACGTTCAAGTCAAGAAAGCGAGATGCAAATACTATGGAATATTTATAAAGTTGATTTAGGTAATGGTACTAGTACTTTAAAAATGCATGCTAATAAACATATTAATCAACATGGAATAGAGAAAGCAACAAACTCAAATAACTAATATGGGTACTACTTGGCATTATAATTCTGATGTATATAGGGAATAATTAGCTTTATATATTGCTGCAACTGATCAACCATTAATATGGCTGAAGATAAATATTTTGAAAGATTGTTCAAAATTCATTTGTATTCTAAAACTGCAAAAGAAAATGATTTAATAAAATGTTTAGAAAAATGAAATTATAATTAAAAAATAAAAACATACTTGTCATGTTAGTGTGGCTCTAACTGTCGATATTTGGAGTAGTAGAACAAACAAGATTATATTTGTGTGACTAGTCATATTTGATAATGAATATAAATTAAATAAATTTTTATTAGGATTTAGATTAATGGATGTTGATCATAGTGGTGAACAAATTTAATAAAATGTTGAAGTTTTAGAAGATTATGATATTGTTAATAAAGTGATAAGTTTAACTTTAGATAATGCAAATTTTAATAGTAAAAGTATAGATTATTTCAAAGTAATTATCCTTTATATAACAATTTGAGTTTTTTTAGCATGTCATGTTTTATTTAATTGTGAAAAGCGGTATGAAAACAATTAAGAAAATATAATGAATTGAGATTGTTTAGCTTGGATTACTTATAGTAATACAAGAAATGCTGAATTTCAACGACGTTGTATAAAATCAAAATGTCTCCTAGAACTTTGCTAGACATGCTGTTAGGTGGAATTTAACTATTAATGCTTGATTACTGTTTACCTATGCTAATATAATTAGTTATTTTGTAGTAAATAATAGAGGTCCTCATTTTGGTTAGAAAATGATGGCAAATAGCTAAAGTATTTTATTATTTTCTTAAAATTTTGTCAATCCACTGTACAACTTCTGGTGGCATATCCTACTAGTCCATGGTAATACATACAATTAAAAAATTCGAGTTATTTAAAAACAAAGACAATGAAATTTAAATGCACCAATAAAGGTAATGAATTTTTTTTTTTTTTTTAAATATTGGGAACCTTCATTTTCTTTATTGTGAGGTGCTATATTTGATCCTAGAATTAAATAGCAGGTTTAGAAAAATGGTTTGACAATTATGTGAAAATTTACAAAATGAAGATATACCAATCAAATAAGAGAGGTAAAAATAGATCTTCGAAGTATATTTCCAATATGAAAACAGGTATGGGAACCCGCAAAGAGGCGAAACATCCAGGAAAGCGCATCAGAAGAAACAAATGAAGACTTCTACTCTCGGGGTGCACTGAATAGGCTAAAGAGGACCGAATCCGAAGCACAACCTCTTTCAGAAGCTCCACCAACAACAACTAAGTACTGTTCCATGCAGTCCAGAGTAATGAGCTTCAACAATATTTGACAACCCCTGAAATGTTACCAGTAGATCCAACAGAGAGCCAACATTGATCTCTTAGACTATTGGGAGCCAGAAAATGTATTTTTCCGGTATTATCAAGACTTGTCTTGGATGTTTTCGCTGTTCCTGTCTCAACCGTCTCATCCGAACAAACATTTAGTGCAATGGAAGAATTTTAAATGAAAGGAGGATAAACTTTCACAAAAATGATTGAAGTCTTCACATGTTTTCGAGATTGGGAACGGTCGCGCCATCAAGGTCAATACGAGGTTGTCGACGATACTTTAAAGAATAATTTCAATTTGTAATATAGATGATACGGATGAGGGAGGTCTTAGTGAATCCCAAAATTAGTGTTGTTTGTAAATTGTAACTGTAAATAATTGTCAATTATACACTTTTTTTTCCTTACCAAGTTTTTGTCTCATTGGGTTTTTTTTTGTGAGGTTTTTAACGAGACAATAATTATTGTAATTTCTTATTTTATTTTTTAATAAATGAATAAATTTAATTTTCTTATATTACAATTTTAATGTATTAAAAATTGAATTTATATTTGGAATGTTAACAAAAAAAAATTAATTTAATTTAATTATTGATATTTGAAAAGAAGTTAACACTTAACTAAAAACAATTACATTTATTCATTATAAATTGTTAATTATTCATTGAAAAGTTAATTAAACATTTAAACTTAAACAAAACAAAATAAAAATATAAAAAAAGGGTGAACTTGGCCCAACCGCGGGCCTAACCCGACAGGTTAGGGTTGGTGGGTCCGGTTGGGCCACCAATTCCCCAACATGGCGGCCTAACCGGCCTGCAATGGTGGCGGGGGGTCAGGACCGACCTGCCACGTTGTGCAACCACAGAGGTGCGGTCGGGCAGGCTGTTTCACCTCTAAGTAAAATACCTTTACCCCACTAAGTTTGAGAATCTAAATCCCATAAATTGCAAATTCTACCCAGTTTAAAATTTGAAATGTTAAATTTAACAGTTAAACGATATTTAGGTTTGTTTTTTAAAAAAAATAGTAAACTCTAATCTCTCTCACTCCCCAAATCAATACAAGTTCAAACAAAATCCCATCCACATCTCAAAATTTGTACAACCCAGCCCTCTTCTCTACCTCCAAAACTCCAACTCCAAACTCCTCCACCACCATACCACCGCACACCAACACCATCGACGGCCAGATTTGGCTACTAGGAGAAGAGGAAAGAAGAAAGAGAAAGAGAAAAGAGAAGAGAAAAGAGGCATTGATGGCCATATGTTGCGAGATATGGTCTTGCGGAGAAGAGAAGAAGAAAAGAGAGAGAAAAAAGAGAAGAGAGAAATAGGTGGAGAAGAGATAAGGAGAAAGAGAGGGAGAGAGAAGAGTGGGAGAAGATCCCGACGGCCATATTAGCGCGCGGAGGAGAGGAAGGTTGAAGAAAATAGTGTTATTGAAATAATTTGAAGAAAAATGATTATTTTGCTAATTCTATAATTTGAGGGTTAGAAAATATTTATTTATTACTCATATTATAAAATAAAAAGGTATTTAACTATCAAACCTAGTCAAAACAAAATTTACCTTAAAAGAGTTTAAAATGGGTGAGAATTTGCAATTTATGAATCCAGGGGTGGGTAAATGTCCTTTATCCTAAATCAAATTAGTTTCTACAAAAAATTCTTGTAATATTATTGGTGTGGATAATCAGATTATATGTAGTTTAAAAAGAAATGAAAAGTATAATGCATATTAATTAAATTAATACCTTGATCAAGGCATGCAGTATTAATCCATATGTAGTAAATTGGCAATCTGGCATAGAAAAATATCAGATCACTCAAATCTCGTGTTTTTGGCTCACACCAATAAAAGACTTGGGATAGTTAGCCAAGCATGACGATTACAATGTATTACCTTGGTAGTGATACATGCAATTTATTTATATATTTTAGATTATAATACATCTAAAGTACCCATGTAATTAGTTAATTGATTAAGAGTATATATATATTGTTTTATGAATCAATTCTGGAAATAAAATTCAAAAACAATATGAATAGCTCACTCTTATCGTCGATAAATATAAAGCCTTTACAACAGAACCACCCCTCTATCGAACAAGAACACAGACCTGCTTGCACGAAGTTTTATGTTGTTTTGAAAACTGTACAGCATTCTTTCTCATTCTGTAATAAACTAGTGAATAGTATCATGTAAGCTTTGGGATTGTGTTAAATTCGAGCCAATGCAATTCAAGTTCAGATAAGGCTTCATCATTAAAGTTTCTCTCTTCTTGTAACGGAGTACTGCACCAGATTGAAGAGTCACATCATTTCATTGAGGTACAACACAGGGTGGGCTTCAATGGGGGTTATCAAAACTTAATTAAGTGGAATGGGCTGTTGGCCTTCTTTCTCAAGCCCACCACTCCATGGAAGTAAAAGACAAGGAATCCGGTGTTTAACCAATTGAATGCTAAGTTCATAACTCCCGTCCACTTGGAGACCTTTTTAGTTTTAAATGTGATGGGATTCTATCTTTCTCCAATCATGTTTGCCATTCCCAGACACTCTCGTTACAAATTGACTTTCACGCTAGTCTAATTGAACGGCTATCCGATTCTCCCATTCAGTCTTCTATTTGTCCTTTTTATAAAATTCTCTTTGACTCCCTAATAAACCCCCTATATCCATTTAATCGTAATATCTTAATCCCAAATTAATAGAGTTTCAAATCCTGTTATAAACATGCATTATTAATGAATCAACAATATTTCGATATTCTCAACATGTTATCTTGGAATATATCACAAAAAGTTATTATCACCATTATTGATGATCTAATGTAAAAAAAATAAATGAGATTTTATAACTTTGATTTGAGTTCTCCCAGTCTCAGACACTGATAAAAGGGGTTTTGGGCTCTTACCTAGTTAATAGATCCAAAACCCTAGAAGATTAGTTAGGTAAGGTAAACTGGATTAACACTTCCAATGATTAAAAAAAAAAAAAAACTGTTATATATATCAATGATAGGTTATTAACAATATTTAAAATAATTTTAGTTTTTAAGATATGTATTATATAACAAGTTAAGATGTACTCTTCCTCTCTCTACTTATCTATTTTTTTTTTTTTTTAAAGTCGCAATAGTCTTCTCTAACATATATTTATTATTTTCTTCAAAGAAGAAACAAGTTAGTATAATTTCATAACAATCTGTACATTCATGAGAAAAATTTATTTTTAGAAGTTAATCTTAAACTTAGTGTTATTTTGATGTAATATTACGTACATTCATGTGATTTCTGTAGTTATTCTTTTTTTTTTTTTTTTGAATACAAATTATAAAAAGTCTTTATCTAAATTTAAAAGTTTGAAAATATTTCACATGTAAAATCACTATAGATATCAATAATTATGTACTGACTACTGAGGGGGAACCGTAGCCGAGAAGCATTGAACACGATGCATTAAAAAAGAAGAAGAATATTATCATGTGATATACGTATTCAAAGGTGACCTTTTATTTTCAATGACCAATAGTCCACAAATTAAGCAAAATTTGATTAATGAAGTAATTGATAGGATCGATTAATAATATCATATTTATATAATTTATAAGCGTAACGCCTTTTTCCTACCCAGGTTTGTCTTAATGACACTTTCTCACCCAACATTTATATTCCGTTAATACTTAAAATATTAATTTTCTTAATTAACGTTCAATGAGTTATCAATATTTATGGTAAGATGGTTTTTATAGAGTGAAGGCTGATGTATCAAATGATGATGACCGATTGAACATTAGTAATCGAATGAGTCAGATATCATCTAAGAATAAGAAACCATAGCTTTACGAGACTAGAAATAAAGTGTTAAGTAAGAGGGGGTTTTATAGAAAGAAAACTGAAGGTTCAAAGTAGTGATGGATATAATTTTTACCGTAGAATCAGCTTTAGATAATGCAAAATATAACTTTGGATGAAAAAAATAGTATCTTGAAATTTGTGGAAGAGGAATGTCATCATTACTCTATGTATAATAGTCTTTAGATAGGTTGACAAGAAAATGATATATTCAATTATTGTTAATATTCACGTTTAAAATTTATTACGTAGAAAAGACATTGACATATTCAACATTAAAGTCTGAAAAGATATCATTTCCAAATTTTGTGGTTTTATTATCATCGTGTCTCTAAGTCTTATCTGATCTACGTAATATTGACTCGGTTCACTTCCACATGTAATGAAATAATATGATCACTTATGAACCGCTCTTTGATTCCGTATTGAAGATTTGTTATAATGAAGAAGATAAGTTATATAATTTGAGAAGAGAAGGGTGAAAATGGTTGACTGTTGGGCACGAAGAAGAGGAAAAAGAATAAATAAAAAGTGGTGAAGTGAATGGTTAAAATGGAGAAAAAAAAAAAGTAGATAGCGTAATAACGATGGAATAATAGCCGCCACAAAACACGTGTGAATCAAAGTGGTCTTACGATGTATGCATCGTGCAGAAATAAAGAGAGTAGTCTACGTGACAAGACAACGCATAAGCCCCTCACAATGACAAAACAAAACAAGTGGGACCCAACTCACCCTCCCTTAGAATATTCAATGTTAGTTGGACACAAATAAAGTTTGAAAAGCATTTGTGCAAGAAGGAACACGTGCTTCCCCTCCTTTTTTTTTTTTTTTTTAAATTATTATTTTTCTTAAAATCACCACCTTGTTTCGCTTTAACAAAACAGTCCAATGGCACACAGAATGACAAACACTCTTTCTAGTTTATTATTTTAAGTGATTACTTTTATCAATTAAAGCATTTTTATTAAAGAAAACATTTATATACATATCAAAGCTTTCTTTGAATTCTTCGGCTTAAAAAAGTTTCTTAAATGCTTATTTTTAATTAATTCTCAGTTTACTAATGATGGGCTTTTGAAATTACTTTGAGAAAACAATTTTTATTTAGCCCCCACTATGTCCTTTTTTTAGTCCCACTCAATTTTTAATAGAATAACATGTAATATTTCTTTTTTTTTTTTTCGACAATTTTACTTTAAAGTTTTATATTTGTAATTATAAAAAATTAAAACTAAATTTAAATCAACTAGAAATAACTTAAAGTTTTATATTTGTAATCATAAAAATTTAAATCAATTAGAAATAACTATAAAGCACAAAAAAAAAAAATTGTGATATTTGGAATTTTTTTTTGTTTAACTGGTATGAAATTGTTTTTTTTTTTAAGGTGTGATTTAAAATGATTATTTGATTATAAGAGGTTTGAGGTTGTTATTATATAAACAAATTAATCCATAATTATATGATAACATATTGATTGATTTGTCTCATATTTCGTGTAAACACAATGCTCTTAGGTAAAAAGTATGAAAGAAAAATACAAAAAATATTTTATTATAGTTATATCTTCACTTAAAATAGAAGACGGGGCTTAAAGAAGAAAATAGTTGGACTAAAAATCAATTGCTTTTTATATTAAAGAGAAAACTTAAAAATAGTTATTTGTTAAATGGCGAAAGAAGGGTGGACTTTGAGGAATCAAATATCAAAGAGCGGTGTTGCGTTACGGGTCTAACTCATAGAAAAAGTAAGAAAAAGAAGCCCACCACCAAGATGGAACTATAAAAAATTGGAAGTAAATTAATAAATTTAAAAGAAGGAAAAAAAAAAAAGAAAAAAAGAAAAGGCATCCATCACCAACACCACCACCACCACAACCACATAGAAAGGTCGAGGTTCAGGGAAGGGATTGGTGAAGATAGAGAAAGAAGATGATGTGGTTGATTAGTGGGCTCCATTTTCTCTTATCCTTCACACCCACCACCAGGCCACCACAATCCAATACGCAAATTTTAATTTAATATAAACCCACAGTCCAGACGACATGAAGTATAGACGACGAAATCACCCGAATATGCCAACTTGACGGTAGAGAAAACACTTCTTCTCTCCACCATCTATTTTTTTTATTTTCATTTTCATTTCTTTTTATTATTCAACTATTTTCCCCAATTCTCTACGTTACTTTCCACTCATCCCCTTTCCCCCCACACATTTTCTACCACATTTCCTTTCAACTTTTTTTACTTATTTTACACATAACCATTTCTTATTTCTTTATTATTTTGTCAATTAGTCATTGCACTTGAGTTTGATCTTGGCCAGCCAATCACATTGCTTCAAACATCGAATATACCTTTCTATTTGGATTGAATATTTGATTAATTAACAAGAAGGACTGCATGATTATTGGACATTGTCCAATATTTATTTATCTTTACTTTGTACACACGATTATGCCGCGGGATGGGATATTAGGAGAGTATACTTTTCCTTGGTCGTATCGTTGTGAATGTGAAGTACAACAAATTGAACGGTTCTGATTTATGATCCGGAAAGGTCAATGCTGCTGCAAAGTATTGGAACATTTTTTTTATCTAAGTTAAGTAGAGCTTACTTAAGCTGAAACAAAACCCTAAATACTATATATCAACGAAAAATAAAAGGGCTCTGGTTATCTATTACTTATATATCGTTTCGCATTCTCACTAGAAGCCATTTGTTTCTATTACTTTCTCTTATTGCATGGACTGAGAGAGATTAGATCGTGCTTTTTTCTCTCATATTTCTCTTTCCTGAAAGCATCAATAACACTGGTTTGAATATCTATATAGCAAAGATGTCTCGGAGTTGTTCACAGTGCGGTAACAACGGCCACAACTCACGCACCTGCTCGGAGGCGGTTGGTGGTGGTGGAAGCAGTGGTGCTGGCAGCGGGGAGAATAATCAGAATGGAATCATGTTGTTTGGTGTACGGGTCGCTGAGGGCGCCTCCTTCAGGAAAAGTGTTAGCATGAACAATCTTTCTCAATTTGATCAGCCTCAAGATTCAAACGCGGATGCTGGTTATGTCTCCGACGACGTCGTTCACGCCTCCGGCAGGAGCCGTGAGCGCAAGAGAGGTACTTTTCAACACCTTAAGATCTGATAAACTATAAATTAAATTAAAATATTTTTATATATTGTTTCTGGTATTGATTTTTATGTGGGATTTTATAGGTGTTCCTTGGACGGAGGAAGAGCACCGACTATTCTTGTTAGGTCTACAGAAAGTTGGAAAAGGAGATTGGAGAGGAATTTCCAGGAACTTTGTGAAGACACGTACACCTACTCAAGTTGCTAGCCATGCGCAGAAGTATTTCCTCCGCCGTTTTAATCAGAATAGGAGGCGCCGTAGATCTAGTCTTTTTGACATCACAACTGACTCGGTAAATTTAGTCTTAAATAATCAACTTTTTAATTTATAGTAAATCTTTTAGCTTTCGTTGTTGTTGTTTTTTGTTATTAAATCTTTATCATTATTATTATTATTATTATTATTATTAATCTGCAGTTCATGTGTACATCAATGGAAGAAGATCAAGCTCATCAAGAAACGGTAACAGTTCCACAGCCTGCACAACAACTGGGAGGATTTCCTGTGTCAACATATCCAGTAGTGTTGCCGGTAAGCGGAGAAAACTCCATGGAGAATCTAACTTTAGGTCCAAGCAGCAGCCAACAGAGAACATTAACAAAGCCCACCCGTCCAATACCGATACTTCCGGTGCCTCCATCTTCAAAAATGGCTAATCTGAACTTGAACCAGAAAGCTACGCAAACCCAAATAGAGCCTTTGCCTCTGTCACTGAAACTCTCAGCACCATCATCATCTTCTTCCGATGAGAAGTCGGCTCCGACGACAACAAAGACATCACACTCGTCCGCTTTTCAGGCCATGTCAAGTGGTGATAGCATTATCAGTGTTGCTTGAAGAATATATGATTAATTAAATTACTTTTAGGTGATGTAAAGGGGAAATTAAAAGACTAGGTAATTAAATTATTAATTAGGTGATTAGGTGATTCCTTGTTTGTACAGGTTAGAGAGAGACAGAGATGGGCTGTCATTTTCGTTGTGGGGGATTCTTGCTTGGTTTGTCTAGTTTCTTTTGTTGTGAAATGATAGAGAACCAGGTACTCTGCGTCGCTGTATTTGGTTTTGTTGGTCTATGAAAACTTCAACAACTTAGAAAAATATCTCTAATTCCTTATTCTATTTATGTGATGCCTATTTTTGTGTTAATTTTAATTACAAGATTATTATTCGTCTCAACTTGGAATATTATATTTGGGTGGTGTTGAAATTTTGTTATAATTGAAAGCATGTGAAGAAATTAGATGAATGGCCCTTGGTTCTTGGAGATCTTGTGATTGTGCTAGATTTAAAAAAGCCAGTATGGTGGGGTGAATCTTTGTTTAAAAAAATGAGGAAGCCAAATCAAAGTGTGATACTTTTTTTTTTTATGATTTTGTTTAGTTTAGTAGTTGTAGCTCCATCATGGGAATTTGAGAATGACATTGTCTCAGTTCATCGGATGGGCAAGGCCTGTGCCTGTCCCTACCACATGTTATAAAATAAGTGTTTGTGTTTTCTATTAAGTTATGAAAGCCCTTTTCCTTGTAAGATGAATGCCTAATGCCAATGTCAATGATGCTTATTACAAACAAATATAAAAGATAAATAAACACATAAATATATGTTATTAATTCAAAATAATTTACAGATAAAGAAATAAATACAACAATAAAATTTGTAGTAGGTTGAAATTTGTTGATGCTTGATTTTGATACCAACGACTCGCACGTACAAAGTGTTAAACTGTTATTAGAAATTACATGTGAATGATTCATGAGAAGCGTTTATGGTGCTGAGAGAATATATGTTTGCAGAAACGTAAATAAAAGATGGACAAGAGAGATTTTTATAGTGGTTCGGATGCTTAAAGCGAATTCTACATTCACTGTTATTTTATTATTCTTTGACTTTTTTTCTGATATTGTTTGTAAGATGTACAAAAATGGAGAAATGTTTTGTTTACAGAGAGAAAATAATAAAGCTCAAATGTTTGTCTAGCTCTTATATGCCAAGCCAACTCCTTTTTCACGAAGAGAAGTGCCCATTTATACACCCTTGAGGTCAATGTAATGAATGTTTTTGCAAGTTGTCTTGACACGTGGGAACCACTTCTTAATCCTTATCTTAAAATGGGATAGGATTGATATAAAATAACTCTAGAGGCGGTTTGGGTTTTTGACAGCTAATACCACTTTATCTTTAAGTGCTTGTTGAACTCTGATTGGTGGCCTTGACATCAGTGTGTATTTTTGGCACAACAGAACCCCCCAATTTTTGGAGCGCGTAATTGCACTTCAAAAACTCATGTCTTAGATCTAAATGGCTATCGCACTATAGACTGCAGTCTCGAACTGAAGAGCTCGAACTATGCCTGACATGATCGAGTGCTGAGAGCTAGGACTGCGATCTGAGCGCGATCTGAGAACTGACATAAAATGTCCAATAGATGAATTCCTGAAGAGAGCTGACGCTAGAAGCTCAAACTTAAGGCTTAGAGACCTTAAATGGACAAGCCAACTTAAAACAACCATAAATTTTGATTCGGGAGGAGTTTTGGAGCCCGTAAGATATCCACGAAAAGCTCGTTCTGAGCTCTACGTCGTGGCAATGTGGAAACCTAGTCGGGGCCATTTTTGGGGCCAAAATCCACCATTTTGACATGTTTCGGGGCTGTTTTGAGTTTTCTACACGTTTTTCTAACGCTAGTAGTTGGTCGCGATCTGAGAGCTGAGAGCACGACCTGAGGTTGTTCACAATCTCAGAGCTAAGAGCTGATTGCGATCTGCTAGGGTCTCGGCTTAAGGGCTTGAGGCGTGCGATTTGAACGATCCGCAACATGCGATCTGATCGATCCGCAACGTGCGATCTCAAGCAAATGAGCGAGCTTATGAGCTCGATCAGAGAGCATAAAGAGTTTGATTAGATAGCATAAAGGGCTTTGATCTGAGAACTCGATAACTTTTGTGATCTGAAAGCTTAAGAGCTCTTTGCGATCTGAGAGCACAAGAAGTTTGATCAGAAAGCACATAGCGCAAAGAGTTAGATCAGAAAGCACGAAGCTTCATCTGAGAACAGAAGGAGTTCGATCAGAAAGCACGAAGCTTGATCTAAGAGCAGAAGGAGTTCGATCAGAAAGCGTGAAACTTGATTTGAGAACTCAAGATCAACGATCTAGGCACTCGGAAGCGAGATCTAGGTGCTCGGAAGCACGATCTGGCTGCTCGAAAGCGTGATCTGAATGATCTGAATGCGTGATTTCAACAATCTTGAACGCGTGATCTGGATGATCTGAGGGTGTGATCTACGATCTGGCCACGCGATTTGAAAGGTCTGATGCATGCAATATGCGATTTGACCACACGATCTGAGAGCTTTGAATGATTTGAATGCATGATCTCAACGATCTTGAATGCGCGATCTGGATGATCTGAGCATGCTATCTACAGTTTGACCACGCGATCTGAGAGCTCTGATGTGTGTGATCTACAATCTGGCCACTCAATCTGAGAGCTCGGATGCTTGCGATCTGCGATCTGACCACATGATTTGAGAGCTCTGAATGATTTGAACGCGTGATCTCAACGATCTTGAACACGCGATCTGGATGATCTAAGCATGCAATTTGCGATCTGACCACGCGATCTAAGAGCTTTGATATGTGCGATCTATGATCTGGCCTCACGATCTAAGTGATCTGAACGCGTGATCTCAATGATCTTAAATGCACGATCTGGATGATCTAAGCATGCGATCTGAGAGCTCTGATGCGTGCGATCTGAGATCTGGCCACATGATTTGAGAGCTCTGATGTGTGCGATCTGCGATCTGTCCATGCGATTTGAAGCTTTGAATGATTTGAACCTGTGATCTCAATGATTTTGAACGTGCGATATGGATGATATGAGCGTGTGATCTACGACCTGACCACAAGATCTGAGAGCTCTGATATGGAACAAGCTTTAGTATTTTGAGTTTTGACGATAACTTGAGCTATAGACCTCGGATTTGGATGATTCTTGGACCATCGGAAAGTTAACTCGAAGGGCAATAGCGCTTATGTTTATCACATCGTCAGATTCATATTTTATCCTGCTCATATTTTCACATCTGATAGCATGAAGATTTTAAGGCTTGCTGGAAAAACTTGGAGAGCTGATGTGAATCATGCCCTAATTCTAGTGCCAAACTGTTGATGCTTGATTTTGACATCAACGACTTGCACGTGCAAAGTGCTAGGTTGTTCTTAGAAATTACATCTGAACAATTGATGAGAAGTGTTTATGGTGCTAAGATTATATATGTTTGCAGAAACATAAATAAAAGATGGACAAGAGAGATTTTTATAGCGGTTTGGATGTTTAAAGCAAATCTTACATCCACTGTTATTTAATTATTCTCTGGCTATTTTTCTGATATTGCCTGTAAGACGTACAAAAATGGAGAGATGCTTTGTTTACAGAGAGAAAAATAATAACGCTCAAATGTTTGTCTATCTCTCATATGCCCAGCCAACCCTTTTTTTACGAAGAGAGATGTCAATTTATACACATTTGAGGTTAATGTATTGAGCGCTTTTGCAAGTTGTCTTGACACGTGGGAACCACTTCTTAATCCTTATCTTAAAATGAGATAGGATTGATATAAAATATCTTTTAGAGGTTGTTTGAGTTGTTGATAACTAATACCACCTTATCTTTAAGTGTTTGTTGAACTCTGATCGGTGGTGCCGACATTAGTGTGTATTTTTAGCACAACAAAATTAAAGTGAGATAAATCCAATATCTTTAATTTGTGCTTGTGATTTAATGCATGAAGTTTCAATTTTCTAATTGACTATAGGAAAACAAAAGTAATTCAAACTTTTTTAAAAAATTAATTAAATTAGGAGATATATAAAACTTTATCATATGCATAATATTACATTTTGGGGCTTTGGTACAGGCAAGCAGGGCAACCCTTCGGTTCTCCTGATCGTGCACCTTGTTGGGTCTGGTCACTGGTAGGAGTTAGGAACTTAAGACTACAAAATACAAATTAATGTGATAAAAATAAATAATTTTATAAATTAGTCATATCCGTACAAACTACGGTACCAAATTGATTGATTCGATATTCGATTTCGATATCGGGAGAACACATTTTCCCACCCAAGGTTTGGTGAAACAACATTTCCCACCCAAGATTTGACGAAACGACACTTTCCTACCATTCAAGTTTCAAAATGACATTTTCCCACTCTTCGTTAGGTTTTGTTATGTTTTCCGTTAATATTTTACAGAAAAGACAAAAATATCCTTAAATATTTGACTTTATAAAATTTTTATTATTTTTTAATTAGCCAAAAAATCAAATTTAAAAAGTCAAAAAAAAAAAAAATTAGTTAACCCCATCTAAAAGGTTAGGAGTAATGATACGCAATTGTTTAAAATTAAAGGACCTTAATATTTATTTATTTATTTATAATGTCATCAATATCCCATCACTATTATTCAATAATCTACTAAATTTATAATGTTTTCATAATATAATATTTTTTATTTTTACTAATTAACATAGAATATCAATATTCTTAATTAATTAAATAAACAAAGGAAAAAATATATTTTTAAACTTCAATTAATAAATAATTAAGTAAAAACTTTAACTTAACTAAATTTTAATTTATAATAAATCAATTAAGAAATAAACTATTTAAAGGTAATTTCATATTTTTAATCAAATATTAACATAAAATATTAACGAAACCTAACAAATGGTGAAAAAGTGTCATTTTGAAACTTGACGGGTAGAAAAGTGCCGTTTCACCAAACCTTGGGTGGGAAAATTCTCCCTTGGATATCACCATCAGTGGCATCATAATCCATTTGTTTTTAAAATCTTGGGCTTCGTTTGGTTCAAGATTGGGAATCGTTTGGTTCAAGATTGGGAATACTACTCTTAGTATTCCCAAAAAAGTTAAACAGTAAAATCCCCAAAAACTCTCATTTTTGGGAATACGATTTTCAATATTATTCAATTTTTTTAAACCCTCTAAATTTGTTAATTTAATTAAATATCCTTAAATATTTTTTTAAAATTACAAAAACACCCCAATAATCCACATTTACCAGATTTCGGCCACCACCTCTGGAAAATGGCCGGAATCTGGTAGGATGGCGCACTACCGGCTGAATCTGGCCAGTAGTGCGCCGATCTAGCCTTTTC